GTTTTGACAACGTTTAATTCAGGTGCGAAAATAATTAATATCTATAGTGCATGAGCACAGAGATTTGAGAGTGCACAGGACACAGTTTGAGTGAGAGGAGAGACACGTTTTAAGTGCGGTTTTGTGCGAGAGCAAAAGAAATCCACGCGCGAGCGGAGAGATTCGCGCTCGCGCATTATATTAATGTGCTTTCGCGCTACAATAATACGCTCTCGACATTTGTCATTAAAATAACGCCATAAAAGAGGGCATCGTCCACTGACACATGCTCATTATTAAGCACACTCAGGCTATGACCACTTACCTGCTTTTGTAAAAATGGTCCTTGGGGGTGTTAGATTTAAAGGGACAGTTCACCCAAAAATGATGAATGCAAAATTCTGCAAGTTTCTTGTTTCCAAACCATAACCTATAAGTCATATAGTTATATGATGAACAAGACTTGGATTATTCCACTTGAGTCGTATGCGATACTTCACAATGTTTTTATGATCTTTTTAAAGCTTGAAAATTTTAAAGATTTTTAAAAATTTTTTAAATTAAAGTGGAACAATATGAGGGTAAGCAAATGACGACAATTTATTTTTTGGGTGAACTATCCCTTTTAAGGTTATTTGCACAATAATATTATGAACCATTTAACCTTTCACCACAAATGGCTAAATTCCAAAGCGTAAAAAAATAATAATGAATTAACCTAATTAATTTACCTAAAATGCTGAATCTCTTGAATCTCTTTAAATATGGCTTACACATGACCACAGCTAAATTTTTGCTATTTTCATATTTCTAGAAAGAATAAACAGAGTCCTTATTTATCTTCATTCACAACTTTAGGACATTTTCTTTTAACAAATTCAAAAGTAGAACAAAAATTAGATTTAGTTCGAATTTAAAGCTAGTTCAAAATGGATTACAAGCATATTTAAATAAATATACAAACATATTTACAAACTTATTGGAATAAATATTAATAAATATTTTATTAAATTAATAAAAAAATTCACCATTTCTTAATGACACTCCAGTAATTCCTGATTACGACATAAGAACGATTACAAATTATTAAATAAATAATTATTTACAAAAAATATTTAAACTGTATAGAGACTGCACTCACAAATTATTAAATAAATTATTTATAAAAATATTAAAACTGTATAGAGACTGCACTCACAAAACAGCAATTTCTAGCTAATGAAACATTTGATGAGCTGAGCATAACTAGAAAGATTTATATTCACTACAGAAATTGAAATGCAAAATCCCAATTTTAAAAATCCTTCAAATCCCAATATTTGAAAATTTCCTATGATCGTATGAACCCTGAAATATCCTGTGGGTTCCCGCTACTGCGATCTTTACCACAGTCTGCTCTGCTGCGACCTCTCACCTTTGACCCCTGAGCCTGACTATTCATCCAGGAAAGCGAGGAGGGGTTGATGGAGGGGGAAGGAAGGAGAGGGCTGAAGAAGATGCAACACTGACCCAGAAAAATCATGACCAACACCTCCATTAAAAAGACAAGCTGTTACAGCAGTCAGCCACAACACATCCAACTCACAAACACACACCAACATCAGGCTTCAATATTTCACCAGAAAAACACACATATGCATTCAAAAACAGATGAAGAGAAAGAGCACACAGACAGAGGCTGTGGTGAGCAAAGTCAGTTTTATTAGAAGTTATGAAAGACACAAGATGCAGCAACACACCAGAGAACATGTTAGTAGGAGAAAGAAAACAAGAGCATCAAATTCTACAGACATGCTTCTATTCGTCCTATCTCATCCCTCTCATCTACCTCTCTAGTGTTCTACTATATACAGTGGTCACAATAATGGTCAATATGAAATGTTTGAAAAAGTGTGTGGAAAGCAAGACTTTGTCTATACAGAAGCTGAACAACACAACCATGCCAACTTCAATACAAGAGAAGCTCTGTTCACAGCATTTGTGGCATAATGGTGATTTGCACCGCATATCATTTTAGTCTCATCCCTCAGTTCATTTTATGTTTTATGTGTTATTTCACATAACATTTTTATATATAGTCCACAAGACAAAATAGTCATTTTCATAAATTAAGCTATATTCTGCTATTATTCTATTGTTTTGTCTTCAGACTTGTGGCGATACTATTGAAACCTTATATATATTATATATAAATATATATAATATAATATAATTTAATCATAATTGACATTATGCCAAAAATGCTGTTGAGTTTAATTTGTATTGAACCCAGAACATTGCTTTTATTTAGGATGTACAGTATGTTAAGCACAGACATTAGAGTAGGCGTTGTTTTAATTATCTTTAATATCTACTCTGGCTAAGGTTTATTCTTAAGTTCTGTCTTCCATTAAAGATTCATCTCATGTCGTTCCAAATGTGCGTGTATTTTCTCGTTACACAGCTCTTTTATACAGACTTGGAATATAATGCAAGACGTGGACTATTTTTTATGGTAGCTTGACAGATATAGTCAATATCAAGAAAAAAATCCATTTGTGTTCAGTGGAGAAAAAGCGAATAGGTTTGGAACAACATGAGGGTGAGCAAATAATAACAGAATTTTCATTCTTGGATGAACTATTGCTTAAACACCAAAGCAGCGGAATTAAGACAATATAGCTGAGATGAAAATTCCAGTCAGTGTTAAGAGATGGGAAGGAAAATAGAGGATAGTCTCTCTGGAGTAATTGAGCAGGAAAACAGAGAGTGTTTACTAGGAGAGAGAGCTTTATACAGCAGGAGCTCTACTGGAAGTTAATTAGAGACACAAAGACATAGTGGCAGCTTACATCCCAGATGAACAGACAAACAGTTAAAGAGACTGACAGACAAGAAGAGATCTCTCTATTGACATACTACAGACTGACAGATTATTATAGTGCTGCGAGATAGAAGAGAGACTTAGTTCAGCTTTGACAAGAAGGAAAGGCCAAGGATCTTGGCCGGTTGGGCATGCTTTAGCCCACTTATTGCCCACAGGAGGAGGAGGAGGAGGAGGAGGAGAAGGAAAGGTGCCGTTCGGAGACGAAAAACAGAGGGGGGTGAGGAGGGCGTCCATCATGCAGAAGGTAAGTTCAACAACCACAAGGCATCTGGAGTTACACCTGCCAACCACACGAGAAAGAGAGAGAGAGAGAGAGCAATGCAAGAGGCGGCAGAGTAAGTACACACAGAGGAGAGAGAGGTTATAGAGAAAGAGGAACAGAGACAAAATGTTATAATATTAGGGAGGCTGAAATTGAAAGTACAGAAAATGAAAGAGAGGGGGGAAAAAAGAAAGATATAGGAAGTGAAACACAAAAGATGGGATGGCAGTAACGACTAAAACATACTGTATGCAAGCAAATTAACACTAATGCTCGAATTCATGTCACTGGGTTCTAAAATGCGCCAATACACACTTGTCTTCTCCCTGTATTCTCAGAGTTGCCACAAGGGGCGCTACAGCAGTAAAGCAAGCTGTCTTCTTCTATAGTAGGGGTCACCAAACTTGATCCTGGAGGGCCGGTGTCCTGCAGAGTTTAGCTCCAACTAGCCTCAACACACTCACCTGGAAGTTTCAAGTATACCTAGTAAGACCTTGATTAGCGGGTTCAGGTGTGTTTAATTAGGGTTGGAGCTGAACTCTGCAGGACAGACGTCTGATGACCCCTGTTCTATAATCTGTTTACTCTTCTAGGTCAACTACTTTAATGGTGAAGTAACAGTTCTTGCGGAGGAAGTTTGATGTTTAATACGAGTGAATACTTCCCACAAAAAGCAGCAGTTCGAACAGGGTTTTGCAGGAACAAGCCTTAAACCCAGAAACAAGTTGGTGTTTTTGCTCTTACAGTTCCATTATCCTGAAAGGGATAGTTCACACAAAAATGAAAATTCTGTCATTAATTACTAACCCTCATGTCGTTCTAAACCCTTAAGACCTTTTTTCATCTTCGGAACACAAATTAAGATAGCTTTGATGAAATCCGAGAGCTTTCTGACCCTCCATAGAGAGCAATGCAACTGACACGTTCCAAGGCCCAGAAAGGTAGTAAGGACATTGCTAAAATAGTCCATGTGACATCAGTGGTTAAACCTTAATTTTATTAAGCTTTACGAATACTTTTTGTGCGCAAAGAAAACAAAAATAATGACTTTATTCAATAATTTCTTCTCTTCCATGTCAGTCTTCAACACGCGTTCACGATATACCATGACGCATGCGTGTGGTGCTGCTGACGCAGGAGCTGGTGTTCTGACGTATAAAATTACAGTTGAACCACTGATGTCACATGGACTATTTTAACAATGTCCTTACTACGTTT